GCGGGAAATTTTACCCGAATGACAGGGCATTTTCCTAAGACCTTCCCACCTTTGCCCTATCATTCGGGTAAAAGTTCCCGTTCCCCATACAGACTGCAAATTGGAAAGGGTTGTTAGAAGTGTGGTAAATGAAGAGCAGTGTTAAAATGGAGGAATGAGAAAATTTTATGCTTAGGAAGAGAGAAATATGGCTCTTTTACTTACCCTTATATATGGCTGAAAAAGAATGATGATTGGGGATGATATGTTTAGGTTGTGAGTAAAAAAACGCGTGACCTCTTCCCGTGACTGCCTGTGGCCGATTGGTAAATGAACCTAGGCCTGTCATCAAGTTGAGATCCGGGGCAAAACTCCCCTCCACCGATGAACTAGGCTTGGATCAAGTCAAAATCCAAGTCAGAATTCTTCCTGCAGATGAGCTGGATCCAAATTAGTCAAAATCCCTCCCCTGAATGAGCTGCGCCAGGGATAAGTTAAAATCAGAGTCAAGACTTTCTCCATATTTGTTCTGTATGAGGAACCGAGGAGCAACTGAGAAACAGCGCATACGTGAGGAGGGGTTTGGCTTCGATTGCTCAGCCATTTGTCCATTGCTGAGCGATCGATAGCCTTGCCCAGTAGCATTCAGTCGATGGCTCACTCTTTCGAGGGTTGCTTACAAGCAAGTTGATGGCTTTGGAACAAAAAACTTTCGCTCGTTAGGCTTCTTTTCTAGTTCCTACAAGTTCGCTTCCCGCCGCTGCAGAGCCTCGTTGCATTCTTGATGTCCTTGGTGTATGTTGAGCATCACCCCGCTTTATTCTGGGGCAGTTCTGGCGTTCATTGCCCTCGATGAGGTAACTTTATCGAGTAGAAAAACATAGGCGGATCCAAAGAGAAGGGAGGGGGGCAGTGAATCTTCCGCCCTCCCCAGCGGCACGGGCACCAGCGCTGCAAAAGCCCTGGTCTGTTCATAAATAAAACTAAAATAACTCTAAGTAGCAGTGTTACAACTCTGTTCCTAGTTTTTGCATATTTCCAGGGCGTTAAGGGGCTCTCCTCTCGACCCCCGTCGCCCTCCCCTCTCCCTCTCTCCCTTCCAAGGAGTCCGTCCTGAATCCGCCTGTGGTAGGAAACAAAGAAGATAATGACTTATATTTATTAATAACGTGGAGGGCAGTGTTAAGGATTGCTCAATAACGATAATGTGTTGTTATCAGGATGCTATTTCAAAGGAATGAGCTAGAATATTACTTTTATCTCGATTTTGCAAGTCCTAAAAAGCAAAGTATAATTTTGAAAATCTGCTACAAGAAGAATATCCACAAAACCATCTTCCTTTAATATTAATACTTTTCTTCGTACTTATTGCATTTTCTTCGTTGCTGGGCCCTTCGATCCTGGGTTGCAGTATTCATTGCCTGTTCGATGTATGTACACCACCTCTTCGTAATCTCTTCAGTTGATCATTTACCTCCTTGCGGATACCACTCATTAATACACGACGTTAGAGCGAGCAACATGTTCTGCCCATCGGATTTTACTTCTTTTTTTGTGCAATCATATCGAAATCTTTCTTTTTTTTTGATTTTCACTCTATTTTATTCAATTTCCTTATTTTTTTTCTTTTTTTTTTCATTGCTACAACTGTTGCACTGACGAAGTTTACTTCGGTACTAAATTGGGATGTATACGGCTTAGAATTATTATTTACTTTCATTTTATTCATTTTCCTCTTTTTTCCATATATATTATTGCCACAACTCTTGTACTGACGAAGTCCATTTCGGTACTTAATAGGAATATATACGATTTAGAATTATTATCTGTTTTCGTTTTATTCAATTTCCTCTTTTTTTCATATTACCACAGTCGTCATACTGACAAAGTCTGTTTTGGTACTAAATAGGAATTATACGATTTAGAATTATTATTTAGATTTAAAATTATTTCTATTTTTAGAATTATCATTTTTATTTCAATTTTTTCCCATACTATTTTGTTTTAAAAACATCAAATTCTCTTTTACCGTTATTTCCTACTCATAGGACTTTATTTTTTTTTTTCGTTCGGTCTTATCGTCATCTTTCCTTTTTTTTTCACTCTTACTTTCATTTTATTCAGTTTCCTCTTTTTCATGCATTTTGTCACCACAGCCGTCGTACTGATGAAGTCTATTTTGGTACTGAATAGGAGTGTATACAGCTTAGAATTATTATTTAGAGTTAGAATTATTTTTTGTCTTTAGAAATTATCATTCTTATTTCAATCTTTTCCCGGAATGTTTTCTTTTAAAAGCATCAAATTCTCTTTTATATATGATTATATTGGAAAGGTATATTAACAAGGGATGAAATAAGAAGAAAAACCAAAAAGGAAGGTAGGAAATGAGAATTAAAAAATTAGAAAATTTACAAAATTAGTAAAATTATAATGGTAAGGAATGTTTCGGTCCATTAAGTCGTATACATTTCTTACCATTACCACAATTGGACCTCGTCAATACGACGATTGTGGCTGAAGTTAACGGATTTTGATCACCTAACTAACCTTCTGGTTGTTTGTTTAATAAGCGAACGTACGACTCGTGTAATCAAGCGAGCTTTTTTTTTTAGGATGATTCGGATCAAAACTAACATTGTGGGTCTGTGCGGATGTGCTGTTCGCCATGCTTCCGCTTTCAGGTAACATTCTTTTTCTTTTTACACTTAAAAATACCTAACAAGTCTGGCGCAGTGGCAGTTAGTACCATTCAGGCGGGTTCAAAATT